TTGCTGTGTGGTACAGAAGGTCAGCTGACCACTGGCCTCAGGTCCTGATCTCTGCAGCAGAGCTGTTTTCTCCCCTGGGCCCCTCATGTGGTCTGAACACAAAGAACAGCTGAGAGGCAGGATGGAGAGCCAGCATGGCTGACACACTGACACTGTTTCTTCTCCTACAGGCCAGCAGAGTAAAGCCTAAACCCCAGTCAGGTGAGTGTCTGTCATTCCAAGGGGCAGCTGAGGGGCTGCTGGGAAGTTTCTTATGAGAGGCATGCAAGGGAGTCAGAGAGATGATTCAGTGAGAAAAGCAAGGGACATGGGTAGGAGGACCTGAGTTTGATGGATCCGCAGCTCATACATTATAACCCTGGGATGTATTGGGAGTTTACTATTCCATCCCTGGTCAAGCAAGACACAGGCAGTGTCATGAATTGGCTGTCCAGCTAGTCTAGAACAATTGTGAGTTCCAGGTCAATGAAAGATCATGTCTTTTAAAATGAGGGGAATGCTGAAGGTGATAAATCACTATAATAACATTTTCTAAATTGAATTTATGTGAATTATTTTAAATTACTGATTAATGTAAAAACATTTGTGTGTACCAGTAAGATAGCTCCATGTGAAATATAGCCTGCTGCCTAGCTCAATGACCTGGGTGTGTCTCCTGGTGTCCCAAATGGTACATACAGAAAACTTACTCTGGACAATTGTCCTCTGCCTCTCAAGCTCACCCACAGTCTCCTTGGGAGACATTATCTCTTACTCCCCAGCTGACAGACTTCCCAGTTCTATGATTTCTCACCAGTCAGGTGAGTTTACGTCAAAGTAGTGACTGGGGACCACACATCTGAATACCAACCTCTTCCATGTCTCCTCTCTGGGAATCAGAGCTCATGGCTGCAGGATTGTGCAGTGAAAGATCACCATTCTTGGACAGACATAAGAAGATAACCCCTGCTACTGACAAGTGGGCTCTGATACCCTCTCCTCGGAACCCACCTCATGCTGTGTATCTCTTGTCCTGAGAGCCTGACTGTGATCTTATCTGTCTACTCATGTAGTTATTAAAAATTTTAATAAATGTCTTAGTCCCAGCAATCCATCTCAATGTCTCTCTTGAGTCCCTGCCCCTTGTCCCACATGACACTTCTTAAAGAGTTCTACATTGTGTCCTGGATGCAGGTTGCAGAAAACAATGCAAGGACCATGGTCTGCATTGATAATCACTGACTGAAATTGGGTTCCCTCATCCTTAAATCTGTGACACTGCCGTCTCATTCACAGCTCTGACCATTCAATGTTACAAATCAGGCAACAGACCATGGCTTTCTTGGATCCCATGTTGGACTTCCTTTGTTCACAAACCCAACTATAAACACCCAATTCCTCATTTTCTGCCATGTTGATATTCTGTCCTTTTCGGTCTTTCTTAGGACAAACTTGTGTCCCATGTCCAATCTGTTAATATTTGTTAGTCAACTTCTCAGCTTCTAACAGAAAGCCTGTAGGAACACAGGAAACAGTCCAGATTGATCAAGTAAGAAAAATCTGGCTTCTGTTGTAGCCAGAAGAGATGCATGGCCATGCTTGATAGAGATCTACCAATCACAGTGAGCCATAAATGCAGTGTGGCACAGATGCAGCTCCAGTCCACCAATCACAGGCCTCAAATGAGTGTCATTTGTTGGCCTTTACTGAGGCATTGGGAAAATGATCTTCAATCTCATGAGACAACATGGAGGTAATTGGGATCATGGAGAAGTCATCAAGGCAACATGTGGTAAAGTGAAGTGTCCCAGAGCCGCTGTGAGGTGTCTGCTGTGGTTGTGACTGTATCCAAGCCTCCTGAGGCTGAACTCAGCAGCTCTCATGGGCACAGTGACCATGGGAGCTGGGGTGGTATTTCCTCTGAGAAGTGTTCTCACAGCAGGATGCCATGATGGTGGTCTGTCCAGTCACCATTTGACAGGTCCATGACACAGGCAACTGCACACAGGGAAGGGGACTTAATGCAGCTGCTCAAATGGTCGTGTGACTTCCCAGGATCTTTCCCATTGTTTATAAGTGAAAAAAACACATTAAGCCCACATCAATAACTCACACAGAGCCTACATTCTCACATCACATAGGTAATTACCCACAGTTGAATAGACTTAAGGCATCGTCTCTCTGATCTACCAAAAAAGAACATCATGATCCAAGTACGGAGCAGACATTTGCTTCTGCCCTGGCTACCAGTGTTTGGGATGTGTGTGCCCTGGACTGTAAGACAAAGTGCCAGAGGAAACTAGACCTCATACCATGCCTCTCATCCCAACTGTTGACAGGTAGTGATGGGAGGATTATCAGTTGGAGCACTTGTTCTCAACCTGTGAGTCACCACCACTTTGAGGGTAGAACAACATATTTACAGGAGTCACATATCAGATATCCTGCATATCAGATGTTTATATCACGATCATAACAATAGCAAAATCACTGTAAAGAAATAGCAATGAAATAATTTTATGGTTGGGACTACACCAACATGAGGAGATGTTGTCCAAGCATTAGGAAGCTCGAGAACCACTGAATTAGAGGCTATTCTTAGTACCTTTTGATTTTGATGCCATTTGTGTTACATGAGACTTTGTCTTGAAACTAAGAACAAAGTTAACCAAAACTCCAAACAGTACAGAGAGGTCATGGCGAAAGGTCCTCTGTTGATTTTCTTTCTGTTGGAAATGGAGAACTTGAAGAAGGTACCAGTCTCCCTCTTCAGATTTATGTAAAAAATTATGAATATCAATAGTTTTTATTGTTTAGTTGTTCACTTTTTGTTGTGTGTTTCTGTTTTTGAGAAAGTGGTCTCTATACTATATACATCTGGCTTTTCTGTAGACCAAGGCAGGCTTCAAATTCAGCAGTACCCCTGCTGCTGCATCTTACACAATGGGATGAAGTACTGAGCACAATGCCTGGCTTATTAATAGTTTGGGGGTTTTTCATTTGGATTGCTTCTTTTTTTTTCAGCTTATGGGGGAGTTTATTTTGAGCTTACAGTTCCAGAGGGATAAGAAACCATCATGGCAGTGAGACATGGCAGCAGATGGACCAGGAGGCTGAGGTCACATCTTCAACCACAAGCACAAGGCAGAAAGTGAGAACTAGAAGTAAAAGATAAGCTCTCCAAGTCCATCTTCTGACATTCTCTCCCGAGCAAGGCTGCAACTCCTGGATTGCGTCTTTTAAGTTACATACTTAATACTGAGTCAAGAAGGAGAGTTTCTCTCTTTTTGTGACCACAAACTTGATGACACGTATGTAAATATCTCTGTCCTTGGCTATCAGCAGAAGCTCGGAGACCTCGTACCAAAGAAGACTGAGCTGGACCCAGATCCACTCACTATGCCTTAAGGACACAGTATAGGTCTAGATTCATGCAATACAGGCTGGACCTATTCTGAGGCTGGGCAGCAGATAAGAAAGTTGAAGACGATGATGTCATCCTAGGGAAGAAGCTTCAGGTCAGATGGCAGCAGGGCAATTGTGCTATTGTAAAGCTGCAGCTGCAGCTTGAGCATCCTGTCTACACCACCAGCTGGCATCCTTCTGCCACCCCTTCTAGCTTCTCCTCCACTCTCCCCAGGCCACTGTCTGGGTGGGTTACTTTGAGGTTCTATTGGGGTCTGTGTGTTGTCACTAGGAAACAGAAACCAGAAATGTGTAAGTAGGTAGTTTGACAGAAATGAAGAAGAGAGGGATCCTTTTTATCCATGAGGTTATCTGCTGGGTTACAGCTCACAGAGCCTGCAGTATGTCTTACCTGAGGGATGCTTCTTGAATGGGAGGGTTCAGAGAGAAATAAGAAGCCTTGAACCTTTTCTATCTCATCACTGCAATAGGATAACCAATTTGGACATAAAATCAGAGAATCTGAATGCTGTGAACACCGTCAGGAACTGGAGTCTGTAGAGTCACTGAGGCTGGTCTGAGGGAGGCCGTGTTTACTCAGGATGAAGGCTGGGTAAAGTCATGGTAGCTGATCCACTGTTAAAGGTGCCTTGTATTGTCTCTCCTTTTCTCTGTCTCTCTGTCTCTCTCTCTCTGTCTCTCTCTCTCTGCCTCTCTCTCTCTCTCTCTCTCTCTCTCTCTCTCTCTCTCTCTCTCTCTCTGTGTGTGTGTGTGTGTGTGTGTGTGTACCCGTGTTCACACTCAAGTGCATGCATATATAAGTAAGTGTGCTCAGAATCCAGAGGACATCCTCGGGCATTATGATTATGGACACCACCCTACTTGATTATCAGCCTTTGGTTTCTTTGCTTGATTGATTGACATTTTGATATGTGGGGTTTTTTTTTTGTTGTTGTTTTGGTTTGGTTTATTCGAGTTTTGTTTGTTTTTTGTTTTTGTTTTTCGTGTTTATTTGTCTGTTTGGTGTGGTTTGTTTTGTTTTGTTTTGTTTTTTTGAGACAAGTTTTTACTATGTAGTGCTTGCTGCCCTGAAACTGAAACTGAATATATAGTCCAGGCTAGCTTCAAACTCCAACAGATGCGTTTGTCTCTTCCCATAGCAGGGTTCACATAGGAATTCAACTGAGTCCAAACCATGAAGCTAGTACAGAGCCCGTGATCTGGGATTAAGGAGCCAGCATGTGGCAGCAGTGGAGCAGGGTCCAGGAGCAGCTGGGCTCCTGTAGTACCCACCAGCTACAGTCTAGTACATGACGTATGTCAGTCTTGTCAGGTCCAGCCCCTTCTTGGGTAATATGGCAATTGAGTCACCATTTACCCAGAGAGCCCAGAGACTTAACAAAGGGCAGATGAAATCTGGAGGTGAGGGCTCATGACCAGGAGGGCAACCTCGCAGAGCTCACTGCAGCTAAGAACGTGGTTCATGTGGTAGAGCTTGCCTGGCATCCACAGAACCAAACGTTTTATGTCCAACAGGAGATAAAGGGTCATGATGGTGCTCACAGTGTCTCCAAGGGGACTCTGGATACAGAAGTCAGTCTGTGTGCGGCTGGCAGTGGGGCCATGATAATTTGCATCTGGCTCAGGTAAAGGAATCTGAGGACCACGATGACTGTGAGGAAGGCAGAGAAGCAGATATGGGAGACATCAAGCTGCATAGACAGCTGCAGGGAAACGTGGAAAAGGTGATCAATGCCAGGAAAGCTAAGGAAATAGGAAGTTACCTCTGCACATGTCAGTCAGGGAGAATGATATCACTTCCTCTGGTAAAATTATGTTTTCCTTCCCTGCAGGGAGCTGATGACACTGTGTCCTGGGGAAGGGTAGGATGAACCTCCTTAGAACCAGCCCTGAGGCCACCACAGGCTCTGGCCCAACCTCTCATGTTTCCTCCCAAGTCACAGACCAGGTGTATCCACTGTCAAACATGTCCCAGGCCTTATGTCTTGAGTGATATATGGCTTCTCTGAGCTGTCTTTGCCCACTTAGTCCAAAGAAGGTTCTGGTGTGACCATAACTAGAGGGAGTCACTCAAGAGCTTTGTGGAAAAAGCCTCCTCAGAGCCTGCGCTGAGCAGGCCAACTGAAGTCTCTGTGTGGAAAGGAAGACTCTACAAAAACTCAATGTGACTAAAGTCCAGTCAATCGGCCATGTGGCTGTCATGTTACATGTGCCAGGGCTTCTCTGATCCTCTTCTGAGTGACAGTTATGATGGGGGGAGGGGGAGGAGAAAAGCTCCTTTAGAAACTGGAGAAGTTTTAGAGTGATTTTCCAAGAAGCCCAGGGAAGTTGGAGACTTGGTAGTAGGGAGCAGGCAAAGGAGTAGGCCATCTCTCAGACCTTGGTCCTGCCGAGGGACTATAAAGGGTCCCTGAAGTGCAAGAAAAAGGCAAAGAGCAGATGTGGGTTAGCAGTGCAAGAAGCAAGTGGTCACTGTGCTAGCGCCAGGGACTTAATGTGTGTCCACATCTCAACCATCATTGTGTCTGTGGTTTATAGACTGACAGCTTCATTATGTGAAATTATTAGAGAGAGGCTCAAACATGGTAGGAGACACAATGAGAAAGATTGAGGACTTGGAGGGAAGGAATAGAGGAAATATAGAAGAAAGGATGCAGAGAGATTACAAGTCACTTAGGAAATGGGAAA